TAGAAATATATTTTTTTAAGCTTCCGATGCATCGAAATCCAGAAAGATTAAAATAAAGTCTGTGAATCACCATATCCATTGATCGTAATCAGTTGAACTGTCTATCATGAAAAGTCTCATAAAAAAATGTTTAAATATTTATTGCGTCTTTTATTATGTTGTTTCTATAATAACTAAAGTTCAATAAACTTTAGCGTAGGCATATAAAATATATTAAAATACCGTTACTTGGGGTTTATTGGTATTATAATAAAGAAAATTTGACAATAGGAACGTACATAAGAATACGCTTTACTAAATGTACCTACTTCTAAGACTCTTTGAACCCAAGTTTTAAGTTTTGAGTTGTTGTCTCTATCTGAGAAAGCTACATGCAAGGTTTTAGATTTTTAGTTGATTTTTTAAATTATCTTAAGTAATATTTGAAACAACTGCACTGCATTATTACAATGTTATCATGTTTAATGACGATTTATTGCAATAGTAGTTATAGTAAGTATAGGTACAAAATATTATATGTGTATTGTGTCCTTCTTGATATACCTGGAAAAATGTATGCAAAACATCATGGTGAACAAATTAAGGGTCAAGTGGCGCATAAAGTATGAATAAATAATAAAAGAATAAATTTTATGTGATAAATTGACAATGTCTCAAATATCATCATCATCAAAAGCTTTTAATAGTGCACTGCTAGACATCTTGACAGTCATCTACCTCTCCCTTTTTTTTTCCGTGCGGAAATCCCCTCGGATAATCTACCTCTCCCTACAAAGTAGGTTTTGGCCTACTATACCACGCTGGTATAGGGTTTGTCTTTGTTTCCTTCTCTTTGCAGTGTTGTTGTAATGCGTAGTTTGCGTCTCAAATACAATGTGGATTAATATTAATGATGCGCATTGTGCAGGTTTGTTTCAATGAAACCAGTTTTTTTTAGGAAGTAACATTGTCGATATATATGTATGAAGTATCCGAATATTTAAATCCATAGTTTGGTCATGGTTTTAAATAGGAAATAATAATATTTATTTTATTTATTTCTTTATATCTTTATTGTATACACTGAAAAAGAAAATAGCAAAAGATGAGTTACCAATAAGTAGACTTAACAATCGGCGGTCTTATCGCTCACAGCGATCTCTTCCAGGCAACCTTAACACGGATTTTAGGTATTTAATAGTTTAATTAATATTCTGTGTTCAGTACAAAAACTGATTTCTTATGATCTGAGTTCTCCTAGTTCATTAGGTATGTACGTTGCATAATAGACTCGGAAAGAGAATCTAACAGACGTTGTCCTAATGTAATAAATTTTTTCATCCTTTACCTACGGTTACTTAAAAAATGGTGTAAGTGTCCTCTCCGTTAATATTTAAATTAAATAGAATTCACTTTTTAAGGGTCTTTACATATAATCACTATAGTATAGTTATAACGAGATTGTATGGCGAGGTAATAAACTATGCGGGAAATTTAAAACAGTATTTAAGAAAACGCCTTCTTATATAACATACCATTTGTAATGTTAGCTTAACGAAAGGACTGGTTATGAGAAATGGTATTTTAAAAATGTATGTATCCAAGTTTCGTTAACCATATCTCTCGACAGCCATATTTTGAAAGGACACAGGTCAGAGTGAATAGATAAATAAAGTAAAATTGAAAAGGTATCAATGAATATCACATATCCACGAAAATCAACCGATTTTAAGGTATTAGTCACCACGGCTAGCCTATTATGACCATTGTTTTCTAATTCGTGGTACAAGTGTCCACATGTCTACCGCTGGTAATGGACCAGTGTGTTGCATAAATGTTGCAAACATGCAAGAATTTTTTGAATTTCTTTACGGAATTAACTGTTAAAATTGCAAGCAGTTATGAGGCGCATTTCGTAATAATACATTTATTCTGGCAAACTTCGTTTTGTTGCTATTTGTATTGGTTGATCTGAATAGTTATTTGAAACCATAAGATCCTGTTTTATCAATACCATATATCCGTCGTCTTTACGTTCATGCACACTTAGCTAGACGAATTTCGTGTACTATCTTATGACTCCTGACTTCCAATAAATTCCGCCTAGATTATTTCCTAAAAAAATTAACGTGAAAATACTTAAACTAACTACTGCAATTAATAAAAATGAAATGTTACTTACTCGCCTACGTACGTTTACGGAAAACTGCTTCGTCGGTGATTTAACTCTGCTTGAAGCTTATGCTTTGTTAGTAACAGATGTGGTTAGCAACAGACTATTTACCTAAAATAACAATCGCAACCTACTGATTACTATCTGGGGAAACGTGACTGCTTTTTCCATTAAGCGACTGAGTGGGTGTAGATATGTTTTTTATTTTGTGGATAAATCCAGATCATAACAAGAGAAACTACAATAGATCACTCGACTCTTTGTTCAAAGTATCAGAATTGAATGATTTCTAAATGTTCTTTTGACATTGCCTTTAAGAGTCGTTTTTTTCTTAATACAAGACTATTTCAGTTAAGACAAAACTTAGTACTATCAAGGTATAATAAACTTAAATATAAAAGGCACTACAAAAACCCCTAACATATTATAAATACTCAATCATTTAGGTAAAAATGTGTTTAACTTGATTTCGCTTTTTTTTTTGTCACGATCAGTCAGAGTGGGTTCCAAAATAATTTTGTTACTATAGATGACTCTTTAAAAGTAGGTTAATATTAGGATATCTGTTGATCATCTCACTCTTGTCCAAATTTAGTATATTTAGTACGATGAAGTAGTGAGGTTCAGGATAAGGCAATGAAATTGCCCGCGTCACACATATATCATGTACACAGTTACCAACTTTCATAGAAATGCTTAATGAATTCCGCTGTGATGACACGCAGTGAAGCTTTCGCCAAATATCTTTATAACATCTAAATAAAGTTAAAAAAACAGCAAAGTTAGCTAGTTAAGTACCCGAGTTAGTTTACAACATTGTTAGTAGCACTAAACAGATTTAAATATGAATATTATATTTTTTGAGGGCAAGTACTGTCTATGTCGATTTACTGACAAATACAGCAGCTGTTTTTAATGTTATATTGTGAAGACTAAGAGAGCTTCCCTCCTCCTACCTCAGAAAGGTTTTCTATCCTTCTAAAAGGTGTGCATTAAATGTCAAACAATCTTTATTTCTCTAACAAGTTTATATAACATGTGTTGGTATGCTGTTCTTGGTATAAATATGGAAATACCTTAACTAGTTGTATTTAATTCGTACTTCATTCTAAAAATAATAATGCAACCTATTTGAAGTATGCAACCTATATTTTAGAACTCAAAGTTTTTCGTGCTGGCAGTAAACGTTACGTCTACACCAGTCCTAATTTATAAATAACTAACAATAAGACTGTGCATACATCTCGAAACTAAATCATAATCTCAAGGTGAATCTTACGCAATACCTTAATCATAAAGACAAATATTAGCATTGGGACGCAATATCAATACCTACTGTTTGTTAAAACAAAGACAAGAAATCAATATTTACCTTTTTAATTGATTGAAAAAAAAGATTCGTCTCTGTACAAACAATATTTTGTCCTAGATAAAACGCACATAGTACCTATCTCGACTTTTAATATTCAAGATCGCAAGCATTTTAAAGAAGTAAATCTATAGAAGGTGACTAGACAAGCAGTCAGTCAGACAGCACAGACGTATTGTGATGGTTTACAGAATGTAATAAGGCAAAGATGAGTTGTGAGGTTAAATTCTTGCGTCGATGGCATTAGGTTTTTTCTAGTTGTTCATTCCAGAAATAATAGGTCGCAATTCTAAAATTATTTAGGGAATTGCAGATGCTATATGCATTGTTAGGTTAGTACCCTTTTTTACCTATCATATAACCTAAATATTGTATTGGTGAATGTAAGGGTATATATCACACAAAGTGTGCAGCAAAAATCAATGCCTTTATGACCACCGGCAAATGCGATGAGTGTCAGGCTACGAATACCTGCCAATCAGCGATAGAAGTAGACATAACGAGAACCACCTCAGAGGAACTCTTAGCGGAGGTCAACGAGAAATTAGCAATAGTGTTCGTAATGAAAAAAACGCTGGAAGCCATGTCCGAGGATATCAGTTTTTGTGCTGAAAAGTATCAAGAGCTGATAGAAGAGAAAGAGAAGACGGACAAAATAATAAAAACATTGGAGAATAAAAACGTTTATTTAGAGACACTTAATAAGGCGCTTGAAGAGAGAATTACATATTTAGAGATACGTGAAAGAGAAGAATGTAGAAACATTTGGGTTAGAGGAGGCGCAAAATGAAGATCTTGAAGATAACGTGAAAAATATAGCAAAAGAACTTGGAATGGATCAGGGACTAATATGTGAGGCAAGGAGGGTAGGAGAAGAAAATAAAAAAACCGTTGCGCAAACAGCACGCCGTCTCGGGTACTAATAGCCGGGGAACCAGGTATACCCTAGAAAGGAAGTCCCTGGTGCGACACCTTCTCCCCTGAAAATAAACGCAGAGAAAATCGAAGGATGAAACCACGGCCGATCCTAATCATCCTGAACACGCGTGCCACTCGCGACAAGTGGCTAGCAACAAAAAAAAACGCATCACCTCAATAATGAAGATATTTTTCTAATGGAAACAAACAACGAATCTACATCAATGAGGATTTAACTAAGTATATGCGTAACCTCTTATGGACAGCTAAAAATGAGCAGAACAATAAAGTTTTGATAAAAAAAGAGGACCCAAATGATAAAAAAATACGAGCGATACGTACACTGAGCGACCTGAATGTTCGTGGGTGGTTCGAAGGGTGTGAGGAGCTTGAGCGTGTTCATGGCAGGTTTGGATACGGGACTCGCAATACGGAGGGGGTAACATTCTCAGAACGTGTGTGTGTGAAAACGTACTTTCAAAAGAAATCCGAACATCTCATCACCTACAGGAGTGGGGGCGAGCTACCTAAATCGATTTCCTACTCATTAGGAGACACCATATGAGCAAAGTGGCCAACTGCAAGTTCATACTCGGAGAGAATCTCACTACTATGCAGCACCGTCGCCTTGTCATGGATCTCTGTGTAAAACCCAAAGACAATCGTGTCGAGCGGTGGTGGTTGCTTAATGAAGGCAGGTCGCGGAAGTTTGCCTCAGCCATCGGGGACAAGTGCGTCGACACTGAAGGCGAATTTGTGCAGGTGTACTGGAACAAGATTCAGGCGGCTGTGACGCAAGTGTGACAAGGAAACTTGGTGGTCTAACTACACCGTCTAAACGGAGACTAGGGTGAAGTTGACCCTTTTTAAGAAGTGGCCAGCGTCTGGATCGTACATGGCTGCAAAGCGTACCACAAAGAGAGCAGTAGCCAGAGCCAGAAGTGACCACTTACAACCTCTCTATGAGAAGTTGGAGTCCTCTGAGAGGCAGAAGCTTATCTATAAGTTGGCGCGCTCCAGGATTGAAGTGGCACAGGATATTTCCAAGGCCGCTGTGAGAAAGATCTTGGGGGCGACCTCATACTTCAACGAGCTGTTAAACAAACAGCGTAAAGAGGTGCAGCCACCGGACCTTCCTCCAAACCAAGGACTAGTGCCCCCGGTAACGACCAATCGATGAATCGGAAAGCTGTCGGAGCCGACGGAGTCCCCATCGAGGTATGGAAGGCGATGGGTCCTCGCGGTGTGGGCACCTTATCTAATTTTTTTAACTGCGTAATCTTTACCGGGCAGATCCCAAGCCTGAGGAGGCTGAGTATTATTACTCCAGTCGTCAAAGGCAACACGCATGGTATCATGGACCCAGTTTTTGCCCTAAAAATGCTTATTCCTGCTTATTCCTGGACATGCAGAAGGCCTTCGACTGTGTTCCTCGTGTGATGATATGGTGGGATCTACGGTCCAAAGGGGTTCCAGAGACTTATATTGACATAATCCGGGCCATGTATAGTGATTCTGATTCTGTGGTTCAGACACGAAACTCTTCTCCCTCACCGTCAGGGTTCACCAAGGATCAGTCCTCAGCCCTTTTTGGTTCTGCGTTACATTAGACGTCTTGTGAGACAGCATCAGAGACCTACATGTGCAGCCGCTATGGTTGCTTATGCATGCTGATGATATCGCGCTGGCGGACAGAGACAGGGGTAGGTTGGTGCGACGTGTGATGGAATAGAAGACGACGCTTGAAAACGGCGGTCTGAAGCTAATTTTGGCGAAGACCGAGTACTTGGCGTTAAACTCAACAGATCCCATATCCGTCCGCATAGGTGATGACTTGGTAAAGCGCATGTACCAGGTTAAATACCTGGGAACTGTATTCCGCGCCTCCGGTGACATCGATTGTAACGTCAAGGCACGCATTGCTACCGCGTGGGCCAAATGGCATGAGATGAGTGGTGTCCTTTGTGACCTCAAAATGCCGGTAAAGTTTAAGGGAAAGGTCTGTAAAACCATCATTAGGCCTGTCCTTTTACATGGCAGCGAGACAAGCAGGAGCTGCATGTCACGGAGATGAACATGTTGCGGTGGATGTGTGGAGTCACGCGGCAGGACCGTGTGAGAAAATTTCGCATCCGTGGTAGCCTTCGTGTCCGTGACATTGCGGATAAGTCGCAAGAGTTTCGCCGCCGGTGGTATGGCCACGTCTTGCGGCAACCGCTGAGCTACGTAGGCAACAAATGTCTGGCCATGCCGCCTCCGTCGGGCCCCGATAGTAGGGAAGACTCAAGAAGTGCTGGCTTAACTTTGTAAGGGATGATGATAAAACTATGCTTGTACAATCTTAAAAGAAATAATAAATGCACTGAACTACCGCTGACAATTGCGTTTCACTAAATGACACTTAATTACAATATGTTTAAACTATATTACAAATATGTTTGAACTCTTTAGTTTAACATGTTTCTACAATTAAACCAGTCCTTCCAATTATTTGGTCACATTTAATCCACATAATTTAGACGTAGGTCTCTTTATCATTGACTGTTGTGTTCGTAACGTAACTACACGTGTAGTACCATCAGATCCAGGGTGTTTCATTTGTATCCTACCTAATAAACACCTGCCTTTACTAATACCACATCATAATACACATAAGTGCTTGGAGTAACGACTATGGACTCAAAATTAATCTACAAAATCACAGGTGTGCATCATTGGGGGTGCCATTATGTCTGTATTAATAAAATTTATTGGTCACATTTGCCTCCAGTTCAATTTAAAAATACCATCATACCGATCATACTTGGAAGTTACAATAGATAGTACCTTATCATGGGGACCTCAGATTCAGGAGGTGAGCCGCAAAGTGTTTGCTGCAGCGGGTTCTTTGCGAAATTTACGAAACTTTCTTCCGACTGCTACTAAAACTGCACTTGCACAAACGTTCCTTCTTCCGATTCTTGACTATGCCGACGTTAGCTATCTCGATCTCATCGAAGCACATCTTGATAAACTTGCGCGTCTCCAAAATTCTTGCATACAATAAATATTTGATTTTGCAAATATGATCATGTTTTCCATTACCACAAAAAACTCAAGTTGCTTCCAATCCGCCTTCGCCTGAATACTCATATCCTTACGCTTCTGTAAAATATTCTGTTTAATCCATTAACTCCTGCTTACCTCAAAGAACGCTTTAAGTTCATGACACACATATGAAATGCCTGGGTTCCTCTGAAAGCCTGGGATTGGAAATACCAACTCATTCTACCCATTTCTACACCAAATAATTTTCTGTAGAAGCTGTACGTTTATGGAATGCCTTGCCAGTTTTTACCAGACGTGCACAAACCGTAACCACCTTCAAGACTATGCTGTATGAGCATTATCTGTCTCTCATAGTTGAAAGTTAGTGTATGTATATGTTAACGTATGTATGCATAGTATTATATTAATGTATAAATATTGATTAGTAGGATTTATGTATGATAAATATTTCATTGGTTAAGACCTTATTTATCACTCTAATTTCTGTATACCTATCACCAGTTCAAAAGGAATCCAGTTTATTCAAAGGTTGCCTGGAAGAAAATGCTTTAAGCGTTAAGGCCGCCCTTTGTATATTACATTTGTTGTTAATTACTTTATAATGTCTGTAAAACCCTGGTGTACAAATAAATTACATCTATCTATCTACCACACAACCAATAGAAGGCCCCCTCATGTGTGGAAACCCTCATGTTCCCTTTGTGTTCCCAAAAGGGCGCGCGGGCTCGACAGCGCGTCTCGTGGTCACTCCGGCATGCTTCTGCTACAGATGGCCTCATCTGTACACCCAGTCCTGCGCTTATGGAAAACGGAGGTCGTTCTGCGATCTCCGGCGCCCGAGTCAATCCTCCATAACAGGTCTTACCGCTGCAATAACGGCGTGCCCGGCGCTCGGTTGTCCAAGTCGATCTTTCCACTCCTCTACGAGGACCTGGCGGAGTTGGGATTTCTGATCCTCGATTTCTCGAGTCTCAGGACTCCCGCGCCTTTGATACAGAGCCGAAAGGGGTCTCACCTCCAGGTTCCACGGTGGAGTTCCGTCCAGGAGACTCGCCGCCTCAAAGGAGATCGTTCGGTACCTCCTTGTGACCCTGATGGCCAGCACTCGCTGCGGTCCTTGCAGTAGTGAAAGAACATGGCCTCGGATTTATGCACAGCTACCTCGAGACACAACCGCCGGCTGCGCTCTACGACTTGGGCAACCCCGGCCGTTTCCCTCAGGGTTGCGACGGACGGCGACACCATCCAGGAAGGCACCAGAAGCACCCAATCGTAGCCGATGTTTCACAGGAACGGACCTTCGAAACACGCCCACACGCCCACTGAGATCGGTCCTACTTGGGTAGACGACGGCTCTCTCCGTCAAATACACTAGCGCCTCCCTGATGCAACTCCAGGGCAAAGTTTTGAACGTCCAAACACACCGTCAACACCACTTCGCCCCGGGAAACGGCTTCCTCCGCCAGATATCTCATTCGCATGATCGCATCCACGGTGGAGCGCCCCTGACGGCAACCGTACTGGTTGATCCGGCCCCACCCTAAAGAGGTGCTTAAAGAGGTGCCGTGCAATCACTCTTTCAAAGAGTTTGCACACCTCGTCAAGCAACACTATGGGCTGGTAGGCGGATGGTGAATCCTTCAAGCGCCCCTCCTTTCGAATGAGGACCAGTTTCCCCGTCTTCCACAATTTCGGAAACTGGCCCCGCTCTAGGCATGCGCTAAAGAGCCCTCTCAGTCCGGGCTCGAGAGCCACGTCATCTAGGGCCAGGAATGCCATCGGGTCTCGAGGAGGTGTTCTTGGCTTTCAGTCCTAGAACCGCCACCCTTAATTCTGCCCAAGTGTGGTGTGTGGTTAAGTGCCTCAAGCCCCGGCGGCGGAACCATCTGTGATGGAGTATGCTCGACCACTCGCGAAGGGAACAGGGAGCCGACGATCCCCTCAAACAGCTCTGGCTGAAGACACCTGGTCAGCGGCGGGGCCCATGGACGCATTTTGCCCCTAACAACGGTAACGGTAGCGGTACGATCCCGCTCCAATGTCTCCAGCAGCTCGCGGTGGGCCTTACTCTTGGTCTGCTTTATCGTTACCTTAAGGATCCTCTTGGCAACCCTGTATTCCGCCTCTCGCGCTGCTGCATTTTTGGGGTGACGACGCCTTCTGCAGAACCTGCACTGGCGGCGTGCGTGCGGTTTACTGCGACCACTAGTTCTGGCGCCTCGTAATATTGGGCTGAATCCTAGGCATAGCCGCATTGCAGACGAGGGTCATGGCCTTCCGGAACCACTGTGCCTCGGCATCAACGTCGACAGGCCTACTCGGCGCAGGGGCCCAGGTCTGTACGATAGCGGCTACCAGGAAGAGCTCCCGACCCGACTGCCAATGCGTTGGCAAAGATGCGTCGATTGCATGGGTGATTACTTCGAATAACAGAAATAAAATAGTTCGAAAAAATAAGTACTTTCACTTATTGCATACAAAACGGCAATTTCATAGGTAAAGACTTAATACATAGGCATATTTAAACCTAATGTCTATAAATATTGTTTTTAAGTCATCAGACAATACCAAGAGTGACATTCTAATAATTAAAATCGGCAACACTTCTGTCTTGACATTTGTTGTCAAAAGAAAATGACATATAATCGTAAATTGTAGGACAACAAAAATAAATTTGTATCAATTGCTTTATTAGATTAAAGAATAAGAGTTTAGAAAATAAGTTAAATATGTTCTGCTGTTTAAAAAGTTGTCTTAATGGCTTTTCGCTCACACCCACGGTGCCCATACGAATCAAAGAAAATCCTGTGCAATTGGATACGTTACACATGGGTTTGTATCTCGCTTTTATTTATATTCTCTGTAACAGTGGATTACAAATAGTGCTAGATATATATAAAAATATGGTGAAAAATTCTTCATTTTATGCTGAGGACTACATAAAGTTCACAATCACGGCTTTTGACATTGTGTATGCTGCCATCGATTTTGCGTGGGAGGCTCAATGTTGGTTTAACTTTATATAGTTATAGGACATGTATTAGATACCAGGACTTACAAGTCTGTGTTGTAACTGACCCAGAGCATGATATATTTCTAAATGTATTTTATATATACTTTTCATTGAGTAATAATTTGAACAAAAGAATTCAAAGCATCTAAAGGTAGCTAAATAAATTGAAGACTACTTTAAAAAAAAATCTTTGATGTTTCTTTGTTGATAAGTACTTAAGATGAAAAAAAGAAGTATTGGTACTAAGTAGTTGAATATCAGATAAATATAAAAAACTCTGTCTTAGCATTAAACCAAACCAGTTAATAGGAACAAAAGTATAGATTGGCTGTTGTAACTGTTGTAACCCTCATAATTAGCATAATTAAGTTTCTTTGGAAACCATTATTTTTCACTGTACAATGTACCTTTTTCATTATTTCATTAATCTAGACATATTTAAGCCCTAATTATAAATATGAGTTTGTTTTTGTGTTATACTTTCTTACCTTCAATAGTTAAACATGTATACATAGTGAAGTTTAACATCTTTTATAGCCAGAAAAAGAATTGTTAGATTCTATGATTGTGTACTATAATGAGAATAATATGAAAATGTGAGATAAGTTGCAGGCAAAATATATTTAGATATTCAATAAATAGTTGTGATTGTTTGAGAAACTGTCAAAACATAGTATTCACTCATGGTTTGCAGCAAATTATCTGGTACCATTTAATTATACAAACCCATAGCTCCTACTTATTTCTGACACAAATTTGTGGTAATTTTCTGTTGTAGGTCATGAGATGGTGATTATAAAAGGTGGTCAGCGAGTTTGTGGTTCAGGCTGTGCATTGGGAAATGCACCACTGGTACAGAATAAATCATACTTTGAAGTGAAACTTCAGCAGGGAGGTGTGTGGGCTGTTGGAGTAGCTACCAGGGAGACAGATCTTAACAGAGTTCATGGTAATGGAATTACTGCTGTCATATTTCATATTTGAAATTGTTTTTTTTTAATGACAGTGAAGTAAGCGTTTGTGGAAATATATAGAACTAAATGAGTATCTGGGACACCTGTAAGTTCTGTTAGCACTCTAAAGAGACATAGTACATACATACAGATTTGACAGTATAGGTACCTGTCGAATTGCTTGGCTGAGGTTTAGGATGTGCTTATATCCTAGCCAAAATTAATCCTGCAAAACATATTATAATTGTGTTGTTATATATTAATAGAGATAGAAAATATCTGCTTCCTCCACTTGGTGATGGATTAGGAATACAGATACACCACCCCTATTCATCCCATGGGTGTCGTAAGAGCCGACTAAGGGAGCAAACACAGGACAACAGCACTGCAAAGAGAAGGAAAACTTGACACAAACCCTATGCCAAGCTGTCTGACAAGCGAGGTATAGTAGGCCAAAACCTCCTTCTAAGGAGAGGCTTATGTCCAGCAGTGGACTATTAAAGGCTGTTGATGATGATGTGAGAGATATTTTGTAACAAATTTAACATTTTTATAACTGTTTAAATAAGATTATTTTAAACTAGGTTAAGGCAAGCAGGGAAAACTTTGAAGTACCTAAACATGTTTAACAGTAATATTTTTAAGAAATATTACATTAGTGGTTTTGTAAGTCTCTTTTATAAAACTGTTCAAATATTACATAATTGTCACTGTTTCCAATTTTACAGTAAAACAATTTGCAAAAGAAAATGAGGACAGCCATTTACACATTGCTATTGTAATTTTATAACAAACGGTCTTCTCCTCCTTCACCTTTCAATACAATCTAGGTTACACAGAGCTTGGGGGTTTGTCTGACTCATTATGTTTGGAAAAGTATGTGTTTGTAAACTCTTGAAATTTGTTTCTTCCTAAAAGGTATACACATTTCAGAAAGTTATTATAAGCAATTAGCTAAAAATACTATGTAGTACTTGTACTTTTCTATTTAAACACTGAAAATTCATTTTTGATGTGGTAACGCAAATTTTGTTTCTTATAGAGTAAAATTAAGATAATCACATCAAACTCAAACACAAAATATCTTTATTTCATAAAAAAAATGATTTGACTGAAAAATGTAGACTCATAGACAAGTCATCGATCAACATGCACAATAGCAACATCACATCAAAGATCTCCTCTCTCTGTGATCATTTCATAATAACCTTATGCTTAAAGTTTGGAATAACATACTTTTAAACTCACCTTTTAAAGAAACTGCTTTTTCTTTCACTCTGGGTCATGCAACAGAAATTGTTGTCACATAATTTTATTAAACTCATAAGAAATATGTATTAGGTCATAAAGGTTTTCCTTAAAAGGACCAGTGAGTGAATGATGAAGTATGAATTTTAGTTTTAGGCCTCCTTGGTTTGCTGTTGACATTTTCTTATATTGTCAGTGTAGTGACAGATTAAGAATACGGAGTGTCACCACCCCTGTATATACCGTGAGTGAGCAAGCACTACAGGACACCATCTATTCAAAGAGAAGGCAAACTTGAAACAAATCCTATAGCAATCTGTCTGGCCTAAGTTCTAAGGAGAGGGTTATGTCTAGGAGTGAACTGTTAGAGGCTGTTGATGATGATGTGTATAATGTGATTGTCTCATATCCAACAAATGTTTATAGATGACACCTGTAGTAAAAAAAGTTTGTCTACTGCGGAAGACCTTTAGAAGCCTCAAATAAGGATTTAGCAATATTTATTTAAGCTTTGAGGCGTCCACCTATATCTACAGCGACAACCTTGTCGGAACAATGGGTTTAAAGACAAATTTGTTATGTTAGTTTGTTTTAATAATTACAACTCCCGCACTAGGAATATAATCCTGTGTTGTGGGGGACTTTACAAACAAACATGAAAACAAGCAACACCCAGACTCAGGAAAATATTTTGTGCATCACACAAAGTGATGTCCCATGTGAGGATCGTTTAGATAAACGATAAAGACCATTCTGTGTTAACAATACTGCAGAGTTAATACTTATTAAGCATATTGCGACTAAACTCAAAAGGAATTGAACCACACTAAAAAAATTATCATTCAGTACATTTCTCATTTGCATTTAACTTTGGCTAACAATTGGCAGCGGGGGGCAATAAGACCTTCAATATTGCTATGCAGAATATTTATTTCTGTTGCCAAAATTGATATTTGGGTCATTGATGTAACATGTTGTGCAAATATACTAAAATGTATTTCGTTCCATTTTTATATTCATATGTTAACACAGACACGTCATCTTTTAAATATAAGAGTTTGATGTTTAATATTATTTGTATAGTTTATTAAATAATTTATTTGGTGTTTATGCTCTCATATTGTTAATTTATTTGTTGGACGACTTTGTTGTCTTTATCAGCAGCATCGGAATCGCGACGGTAAACCCTTTAACCCTGATCGCTAACGGAGAGTAATGGTGGTCTTTCAGGGCAGCGATGTAGTTTTTTTTTTGTAAAAACTCTTAAGCACGCAAGGCTGTAGGCCATTGGGTTAATCAGGCTCTCCTGACAGGTTTACTATTATCGATAGATTCGTCTAGAATTTGTTGTCGCAATCTGATTCAGATTGTCTTCAGGCATATGCATTTCTGCATTAATAGATAATTTTAGATTCTTATTTCGGTTTTCTTAATCCGTGTGGTGACGGATTAAGAATACAGAGTGTCACCACCCCTATTCATCCCGTGGGTGTCGTAAGAGCCGGCTAAGGGAAAAACTACGCATAACAACAGCACTGCAGAGAGAAGGAAAACTTGATACAAACCCTATACCAACCCGTCTGGCTAGCGTGGTATAGTAGGCCAAAACCTCATTTCTAATTAGAGGCTTGTGTCCAGCAGTGGACTGTTCAAGGCTGTTGATGATCATGTGACATTTTTTTATATTTACAGGTGGCATGGATAAAGAATCCTGGTGTCTCAACAGTGATGGGACTGTGCGACACTTGAATATAGAACTGTATCACCTTGCACAAGCACCACGAGAATCTCCCACAGCCGATTTGCTAGTGTCGACTGATTCACCCACTCACACAGAAAATGAGAAGCCGGAAAGTGAAAAAGAGACTAACACAGCAGCAGTAATGCCTGTAGAGGGGTGACACAATAGGAGTGTCTTACGACCATGTTGAGTTGAACTTTTTCTTAAATGGCAAAAATATGGAGATTCCTGTCAGTAACATCAAGGGTACTGTTTACCCAGCATTATATGGTAAGTGCATGTAAAGATCATCAAAAATATTCTTCAAATCTTCATTTTTCGAAATGCATAAGTATAACTGACAACTAGCTACAATTTTTTTTAAACCAACCCAAGGAAGTAAGAAATATGTAACCGTTTGCCTTACTTTTGTATGCGCAGCGTAGCCGTATACATATCTAATATTTGTTTAGAAAAAAGATTTTTTTTCCTCTACAAGAAGTATTTCCAAGACAACTTACTCAACTATTTATTCGCTTACTCAAACGTCCACCATCACACTAAAGGTCATAGATCATTAGAGCCACCCGACACCCGACCAGCACCGCTTCGCCTCGAGCATTTAGTATTTTTTGTATGGAGTACTGTGGGTATACGCTCACTACATCAACTCCGAAGCGCCTCGCCTGCGGTTTGACCCCGCGCGGACGGCGAGTGACACTCGGTGACCGCGCGCTGTCACCGAGTGGGTCACTCGCCTCGTTTACGCGCGAGGATGATGTGGCACACCGCTCCTCCTCAAAATTGTCGTATCGCTTTCTGGTTAACAACACGGCGTCCATCCATGGACCACCCGTCGACCACGAGTGGAGACCGAGTGACGAGGTGGTGCTTGTTGGGTGTCAGGTAGATGTAATGAGCTATGAGCTTTATAGTGTCAGAACCAACAAAGTAGTAAAAAATCTGTTGTTTATTGCTACAAAAATATGCTCTTATAATAAATAATGTGACTGTTCTCACAGCAAATAACGTAATCAAAATCTTCTGTGTTACAGTTGACGACGGCGCGATCCTGGACATCATTTTCGAAAATTTCTTATATCCCCCTCCGTCAGGGTACGCAAAAATAATGGTGGAACAGTCTCTTCTATAACATCAAACGCAAACTCGGCGCGTCCTGAGCATCGATACCGAAGCAGCACAGTGCTAACATGTAATCGCTTAAAAGACTAAAAACTGTTAGTAGTGTGAACGAACTATATTTTTGAATAATGAATCTAGATGTCAGACTTGCTTGTGTGGCTTTTATTATGTCTGATATATTTATATCTTAACGTATCTTAACCCCACTTGCGAAATGTTGTAAACGTATATACGAAACAATGATACTTGTGTGAATGTTATAGATTTTGTGCAATCTGGCCGATCTCAGCTGAAGTGGTAAATTGACATACCTAGTTCCAGAATGTTTTTAAGTTACTTAGACTCGCTTACAATAATAGAGCAAATTCTGTCTATTAGGACGAATAACGCTTAAAGCGATGTATTTGACGCGAATGGCACGCATTCGATGTCAAAATCGCATGCGGGACCAATGTCTTCTGGGAACGACGCCTAAAGTAAAATACTTTAGTAATCTTATCATTCTCTTTCATATATTATTTTTACACACTCATAGCCCTAAGTACAGTTAAACATTTTTAAACTAAGATTTTCCACATTTATTAGAAAAATATGTCTAGACATTAGCCACCGAAACTTTTACCGGCAATCAATTCCTTAAATATTTATGGTACTTTGTTAATTGTACTGATCTATTATGCAACATCCTCAAACTTCATAAGACAAATATTATTTATTTAAATTGCTTAATTTAAGGATTCGAATACACATTCCAAAATTAAATTTAAAAGAACTGTATGTTGACCGTAGATCGGTATGCCTGTTGATTGTTCTATATTTGATACTAACCGTACTACTTAAATATGGTACTTACAAATAGCGGCTTAGTTTGATGTATAATGTAAATGTCCCTTTCTCCAAGTCAGTATTACCAAGAAATATAGATTGTATGATATGTATTTATTATATAAATGATGTAAGAGTTTAAAAAATATTTATAAAATGTAATCATTCCTGAGTTCAAGTCGGGTCTCATTATTTACATTTTACTGAAACTGATATCTGTGTCTTTACATATTTTATGCTGAATTTTAAGTAAGAAACAGGCAATGTGTGAGTGTTAAATCTGGGGCTGTTTTAATGAATGATGTCTCGACAAATAAGTTCAGGATTGCATTGCAGTGTCTAATTGACTATCTACAAGCGGTAAAGTAGTTCTGGCCTACTAAGTTATGATACAACTACACATAGCTGGGCGTTTTTATTTTAAATTATACCTCATTAAGATTCGACATTTTTTTAACTATTAGATAAAAGCACGAAAACTAGAAACATTTGAAATGTAACAAATTTTTGTTTTGATAATTGTATTTGTTTAACGGTTCAAAATCAGCCTGGTTTTAACAAAAATTAAAACAATTTCGATTCACTCATAAAACTATACAGATAAATTAAAAAAAAATTCTTTTAAAATGTAACGTAGAGAAATAATAAATAATCATTGGTAAAAAAACGAATTACAATTATAGTCTAGTTCAATTTTATAATATTTTGTGCGAAAAAATGAACTTTAACGGAATTTTTTGTTATTATATTGGCTGTAATGAAATGATTTACATGTGTGGAAAATGTTTTGTTTACAAAATTTTATACGTAAGTTGTAAAATTTTGCCCGGTACATAATTCGCCTTTCTCTCTCTCGTCTCGCGTTAGGTCGTGTAATAACCTAACTATATATATATATATATAAAAATGGTACCAGTATGTGAAGTATGTATATGAAATATATATTCTATGTCAAGAACTCTGTATATCATTGAACGCTACATTAACCCGTACTAGCCCCGACAACTAACTACGGAATCTTGAACGACAATGTGACTACAGACCGCGAGGACATGGCTAATAAGACTATAGCACGCGAAAATGATTCATGACACTCCAGCGAGCTCCTGGTAACAACTCCGATTGTTTCTGTTTTTTTGTATGATAGAGGGGGCAGACGAGCAGACGGGTCACCTGATGGAAAGTAACCATCGCCGCCCATGAATGTCTGCAACTCAGGAGTCACAAACGCGTTGCCGACCTTATAGGAAGGAGTACGCTCTTTTCTTGAAGGTTTGAAGGTCGTATCGGTCCGGAAATATCGCAGACGATAACCCGTTCCACAGATTGGTTGTGCGGGGCAAAAAGTGTCTCGAAAAGCGCACAGCAGTGGAGCGTCAACTATCCAGGTAATGATGATGAAAATTTTGCCGTGTGGAACGATGGCGGAAATTTGCGGCTGGTATTAGTCAGAACAATTATTATTAGTCAGAGCACTCTCCATGATATATGCGGTAGGGAATGTAGGGTGAAGCTACATCTCTACGTAACGCCAAGGAATCGAGTTGGTCGCAAATCTTTTGGCTGATATTTGTTGGTCATGGACAAAATCTGACGGGATGAAGCTTTATTCAGCAGAAGTTGATGGTTGCGGATCATCTCTTGACAAAGATGTTTCATTTTTTGAAAGCTGAATAGTTTTCGTTATTTTGTTGGTAATTTTACTTTTATTTTGTATGGAATCTTCAATGTAACCTTCAACCACCTTGCTGGATTTCCACCCACCGTGCCTTTTTATAGTGGTTAAGTTAGCCCCAGAATCGGCTAAAAGTGTAGCCCATGTTCTCCGGAAGCAATGACCTGTGTACAATTCCGGGTTTGCTAACTTTAAATAACTTGCGATTTGCTTCGGCATACTTCTGATGGTATTTTTTCCAATAACTTGTTTGTAGTACTTGCCTTGGTGGTAGGTACTTAAAAAAAAATCGGTTGGTGTTTACATTTTCAGGACGAACATTTCTGTATTTTTGTACGTATTCAGAGAATTCTTAAGGAACTATAAATGTTCGGTCAATTTTAGTTTTTGTGTTCGGTAGTTTAATTACTAACAACTGACCCTGTTGTTCTATGTTCTCTATTGTTATAATTGTAAATTCAATACCTCGGCATGCGCCAGTTATACCTAAGATAAGAACTACCTAAAACAAGCGAAATATAAAAATAAGTATGTTTTATAGGATTGTAAGAGTAAAAAAAATTAATTATGAAGTATTACCATTTTATGATTATAATTTTACGTACCTTTACAGCTAAATATATGCCATTGGGGGCTTCATTTATGAATGTTTTCACGTCTTGCGCTGTAAAAACCTTTGACTTTTTACTTTTGTGCCCAGCAAATTGTCTTTTTAGAAAAGATGATAATTTTGAATAGTTCTTGATATTGAAGTCGTGTTTAGTACTCATAGTTGCTTTTAACATTGAATAAATGCACCACAAACTAGATGGCTGCAGCTTTTTTGATAGGTCACTAAAGTATGTTAATGATACAGTCTCGGATAAAGACTTTACTCGTTTTTCTGTTCGCCACTTTATGAACTTGTCGTAAGTTTTCAAATATCTCTCTTTAGAAGTTTCAGGCAAAATATTGTTAATTGCGGCTTCAGCTTCCATTTTTATTGAATCGGGAGTGCAGCTTATATCTTCATCACTTGAAGAACTCATGTTTTTTCTTAATTAGCACGCAATTATAAAATAATCCCAAAAACAAACAATTTTCAAAGTAAAAGTTTTCTATTCTCGCCTTTTTTCATTAAAAAGAATCAAGTAAAGAACTTTTTAAGTTTTTTTTTCAAGATCGAAATTGAGCCACGCCGTTCGATGTTTAAAATTGATGACTATTATACTCACACGAAGACAAGGCTGAATAGCAAAGCGACCTCTTTGGTCATTGGGCTGAATGCATGATGTCTATTGACAGTATGATGGTTAGATGTAGGTACGCGAACTTTTTGAAAGAAAGAAGTGTTTTTTTTTAAATTACTTACCGCCCTAGGGCTTTTCTAGCTACATTATTACACTAGAGCGTTAATTAGTCACATACAAGCCCCATTTGGAGATAATAAGAACCTACTTACCGAACATGAGAGATGTAAAAGTAGTTACAATGGCTTCGCAGTCGAACTTACGAACAAGATGGGGCATCTTGAGAGGTCCGAAACAAACACATTTAGA